TTATGCCAATAAGAGCCTATTCAAGTTGACTCTATGTACCTTTGACACAAGCCTAGCAGGCTTTGACGGTTTCTTTGCTCTCTGGAATGACAAGATGTTTTAGGTTTGCTGTGTGCATTTCTTGTTTGGATCTCTGATCAGACTTTCTTCAAGCAATCTTATTAGTTTCTCCTAGTGGAAATTAGTATCAAAGGCCAGAACCTGAGTATTAGTATAAAGTAACTATGGAACAAATCAGATGGCATAATTTGGAAAAGAAAGTTGTAATTGTTGAAAATATATTTAAGCTTCAGATATAGGAATAACTTTTAAAAGTCATTGTCCAGCCCCCCTTCTCAGCACACTTTTATCTTTCTTTAAAGTAGATGAACAGAACAGCTGGAAGGGTGTCTTTTGTGGTTGGGCACTTCCTGTTTTTCTACTTATAGTATCTTTTTAAAAATTTTCTGATAACACAAGGTAAGGTGATACTCTAGCTTTGTATTACAATTGAGAAAAGTGAAGACCAGAGAAGCTGACTATGTAATTTGCTGAAGGTCAAACAGCTAATAATTGATAATGCTGAGATTTAAAATGAAGACCTTCAATTTTAAAAATCTATCCTCTAAAATGGATTTTATATTAAATGACATAAGAAAGGAATTTGGAACCTAGTAAGTTTTATGCTTGAGGTGGATCATGGGATTTAATTTGAAAACAATGGGTGACTCTAAAATGACATAACAACATTTTCCATACCCGTAACAAACTGTTGCTTATTCCCTTTTCTTAAGGATTTAAGTAGGTATCCTCCTTCAAAATTGCTGTGAAAGGTACACAGTTCAGATGCATGTACAGAGGTCCATGTGTACCACTGACTCATATCTCGACAGAAGCAATGAAGTAGAATGGAGGAGGTGGCTTCTGAGTCAATTCTGGATCCATTATTTTGCCTGCTTGTTTTGGGTTAAGGTAATTGATGGCTTTTAGCTTCAGTTTCTCCGTCTGTCACGAAGGTGTGTTGTTGTTACCCAGTTTGCAGACTTCTAGCAAGGGTTTAAGTGAGATTCTCTGTGTAGGAAGCAGCTAGGGCCATTCCTGGCATATAGACCAGTAGCTGGAAGTCTGCTTTTTTTTTTTTGCACTTGGGAGTTATTCATCTCTGAATTCCCTAGCCATTCCTCCCTATGTGTGTGTCTATGACTGTTGTGATCATTTTTGAAATGTGATAGAATTCTGAGAGATAGAATCTAGTCATCTATTATATATCTATTATGGGAGATATATATATATATATATATATATATATATATAATAGATCTATATCTATATCGAGAGAGAGAGAGAGAGAGACAGAAGTAGATGTGCTGATGAACTGTAATATCTAGGGGGGAGGAAACCTCACACCCCTCTAGGGAATATCTCAGCGGATTTAGGACACTACTTCCTAGTTGTCTCTTTTTTTAGATCTCTGGAGATTTTCCTACATTCTTTTGCTCAACTGTACACTTAAAATGATGCTTGTTCTATTTTATCAGGACATTTGGCTAAAAAGAGAAAAACCATAATTTCAGAAACGTACTCTGATTTGCCACTGTTCAGGTGTGGTCATGGCTATCTTAAAAACTACATTTTTCTCCCTTTTTAGTTCAGCTGCCACAAAGTCCTTCTGCAGAAGCTCCTCAGGAAATAACATTTCTCATAATTCTTAAAGACAATTCTTCCTGGAATTTCTTGTCTTATATTAGTTTGAAATTTATTTAACATGGTTATAATATTTTTAACATCATAATGATTCTATTTCTATTTTTAAAAGTTATCTGTCTTCTTTTGATATCTGCTTGATATTTTTTGATAATGTCATATTATTTTCTCAGTGTTTTATTTCTTCTTTTGTATATGTGATCATTTTAATAGATCTTTTTTATTGCCAGCATCTGACCATCCTATCATTTGAAATTCATGGGAACTCTAATTCTACTACTTGTTATGTCCACTGCCACTCCTGTGGTGAACAGTTTTGTAATTTGAGATTGTGAGTTCATCCCTTTGGGAATCTATCTGTGAAAATGCTGCAGCCTGCTATATATACTCTGAGATGATTTGCTTTGTTGGGTTCCTAGAAATTGGCTTTGAGCTGAAACTATGCAGGACTTATATTTTAGAGCACCCAGATACCTATGAGGGCAGGCCCCTGAGGATGAGTCTCATAGGAGATTTCTCTTAATTGTGTACGTGGATTCTAGGTACAAAGACAGATGAGCTTTTCCTTCTCTGCCTCTTAACTTTACTATTCATTTCTTTACAGAGAGTTTGTGAAGCTATTACAATCTATTGAAGGTCCTGCCCTTGCTTAGTATTGTGGAGTTTCAACTTCATGATCAAAGGAGCCTGCAGCCTCATTTCCTGTTTCTGCACAGCACTCAGAACCCTGCTTTCCTCCAGGGCAGACCTTGGTAGATTTAGGGCACTGCTTCTCGGTTGTTTCCTTCTAGACCTCTGGAGATTTCCCTACTTTCTTTAGTGCTCTACTATGCACTTAAAATAATGCTTATTCTATTTTATCAGGTAGCTTTGGGACATATTTAATGGGCAGGTTTTTAGGTTACCTGCTCTGTCATACTGCAAGAATCTTAGCATTGATTGGTGTGGAATCTTTTCTCCTTCTCAGGAATACCGGGGACTTTTTAATGGGTTTTGCTACAGCAAGAGGCAGGTTGTACTGGACTGAGGGTAGGAAGTAGGACTAAGCTCACCCTGTCCAGTGACTCCTGGCATGGCTTGGGCAGGTCTCTGTCTCTTCTGGGCAGGTCTCTGTCTCTTCTCCCAGCAGGCCTCCAGAATGTTATATCAGTCCCACAGAGTATGGGTGTCTGGTGTGCAATACAGTGCCATGAGAAAGATACAAAGAATTACACAGAAGTTAGGTTAGAAAATATAGTTTATTTAGAAAGTAAATTAGAGAAAGAGAGAGAGAGAGAGAAAGAAAGAGGAGATTCACCTCCCCAAAGTAGGGGAGAGGGTGAAAGCCAGGAAAGATGGTGGCAGCCATAGCTCCAAGAGCACATAGCCATGCTAGAGTCTAGTAAGTTAGTGGCAGCTGGCTGCTCGTGGTTGAGTCTTTTTAATCCTTCCCTTTGATGGGGGAAGGTCATTAAGGTGATTGGGTGGTGGTCTGCTCCACATCATCACAAAGGGACAGGTAAGTGCAGGTACTGACCTCAGATGATGGACAGCAGGCAGATGGGTGGGTTAGTCACATGACTGCTGCCATAGTGGTAGAGATCTGTGTCACTTAGGTCATGTAGGTCATGAAGGGCTGATTAGGTTGAAGTAGGTCTTATGGGTGGAGGCAAATACTTTGAATAGAAAAGCTAATTAGTAACAAGCTGGGGATGGGGTTGTAAAGCAACTATCAATAGCTACCTCTGAGAAACTGATTTTGTCCTTATCTAGTGATTAGAGGGAAAGTTAAGCGAACTGCTAGAATATCATGAGATTTAGGCAGTTTTAAAATGGTTGCACACTGGGTATATTAAATCCATGTTATGTCCTTTCAAGTTCTATCATCAATAAAAAGAAGTGATAATTAGCATTGATTCTAAAGATCTCTCTGTGCTTTAAGATTTTAACTTGGATGGAATGCCATTTGTTGTGCTCTAGTCGGCTGTGTTCTCACTATGCATAAGGTACTTGCTGAGTACTGGAGAAAGAGTGGTGAGAATGCAGACTTGGCACCTATGACATAAAGTATGTGATCCATTCAGTGGAGAAAAGAGGTAGGCCAACAGACAATGACCATGCTAGGCATTCAGTCCTAGGCAAGGTACGTGCAGGGACTGGGGACCACCTCCAGGGAGCACCTTGGGAGAAGTTCTAGAAGAAATCTCTCAGGGGCCAGGGACTTTTTTTTTTTGAGTTGGAGTCTCACTCTGTTGCCCAAGCTGGAGTGCAGTGGCACATTCACGGTGTGATCCTTCTGCCTCAGCCTTCCAAGTAGCTGGAGCTACAGTCACGTGCTACCACGCCCTGCTAATTTTTTATTTATTGTAGAGATGAGGTCTTGCCAGGTTGTCCAGGCTGGGCTTGAATCCGTGGGCTCAGGCAATCCACTCGCCTTCGCCTCCCAAAGTGCTGGGATTACAAGCTGAGCCATCGAGCCCAGCAAAGGCCAGGGACTTCTAAAGCAAGGACCAAAGTCTATCAAGAATGTATCCAGGTAAAAAGACAGGACAGAGTCTTCATGGAAAAGCACCCATGTAGCAAAGGCTCAGGGGCAAGGGACAGTTTTGCTCAAAGTAAGAATTTAAATTATACATGAAGGCCTTCTAGTCAAACAATAAACAGTACCTGAAGTACAATATCTAGAAGCCAAACTCTGACTGGGCATACTTGGAGAATGACAGATCCATGTCTGTGAGTGTGCATGTATGTGATATGTGCAGGTGTGTGTGTGTGTGTATGTGTGTGTGTGCATGTGTACATGTGTGTGTGTGTATGCACACATGCATGTATGCACACTCTTTGTACGAGCAGAGGACATCACTGTTGTAGAAGGGAAGCTATGGTTCAATGAATTTAATCAAATGACCTGAAGAACTGACTTTGAATCCTGGCTTCGCCATCCCTAATCATAGGCCACAGACAGGCCACAGTAGGAAGCCTGGCCTTTATTATGTCTCCAGCATGCCCTGAGCAGGAAAAACCAGCATTTCTCCAAGGCGGGTGCCGCATGGGGAAGCTGGGGCTCCCGGTTCCAACTTCACCAGATCTACAAACTAGTGGTGGGCCGAGATGTCAGGAGCCATGTGGGGATGAGGAAGGGTGGTACCAGTTCAGGAGCAAATGAAGGAGCAACATTTTTGCGTGGCCAGGTGGTAAGTGGGTGACTTAAAGATGGGAGGAAGTCAGCCACTGTTACAAGACAATTGAAGACCTGGTTTAGAAATAAACTTTATAGCATGTTTAAAAGAGTATTTCATTCCTTGTTTTACTTACATGTGTGTTTGTTTGTTTCTTAGGGCCCTTCTGGACCACCAGGAGAAAAAGGGCCCCTGGTACAGTATGCTTTAACTAAAAGATTGGGTTTCTATGGGAAGAATCCTGCTCCAATCAAAGCAGTTTTAAACTGGAGACATCGCAAACTGGTTTCTGAAAATTCCTAGCATTATTAAACAATGCAGACTCTCCAAAGTATGAGCACTAATCTGTGGGACAGAATATGATAGATGTGGATATGAGTAGGGAGGGGATGCTGGGGGTTATCTAATCCGACATGCCCGCTTCATAGTTGGGCAAACAGACTGTCTTTGCTTTTTGGCGTCTCTCCATCACAGAAGGAAAGTCATGGTTTAATGCATTTAATCAAACGACCAGAAGAGCTGACTTTGAATCCTGGCTTCACCACCCCTAATCTTGCAGTCATGATCCAATGAGAGAATTTCTCTTAGTCTGTAAAGTGGGCATAGTAAGAACCATGAGCCATGTGGAGGTCTGAAAGACAGGTTTTATGCTAAGGCAACAGGCGAGTTCTCAGTAGGCATTTGTTCTTAGGAGTAGCAACCACTGACACATGCATTTACCAGAAAAATGTGAATTCCTGTAAACTCACCCTGTTGGAGAAAGAGCTACATATTAGCAACTGGAATGATTTTGTACTTTATGCTATGTGCACATATTTTAAATTACATTCATTCATATGGTTTCTGAATTAAGGACAGGGATTTTCATACCCATCTTTATAAATGAAGAAAGTGAGGCTCAGAGCAGTTAATTGATAAGAATCATATTTTAAAGCAAAGTACAGGCAAAGTAGCTGAAAATCTAAATGGAAGCATTGGTGTGAGAGGAGGTCTGTGAAAGCTCAGGAGAGGCAGGGTTAGCCCCTGAGAAGCCGTGTTGTGCAATTCCAGACCCCCCCCCCCCAGGTATTTCTCTCTTGTTTTAGGAAAAATCTTACAGGGATCCATAATGAAGTATCTGTACCACATTCTGATTGTTATCTAGAACTTTTCAACAGTCTCAGAGTGGTTTTCTCATAAAGAGCAGTAAATGTACTAAGCATTGTGCTAGGGCTTGCACAAGGAAACTTACTTAGCCAATTAACAAACCCTGGGACTGATTATCCACAGGACATGATAGGAGTGAGCCAGGATTTGAACTCAGGCCCGCCTCACTGCCCGAGCTGTTTCTTCCACTCAAGCAAGGGACCTACTAATTGGGTTGAGTCATCAGGGTCAGAGTGAAGGTTTTCCAGAGTGTTCTCTGTGTGTAATGAGCATGTCTATCTTCACAGAATGCAAAGAGATGAGTAAGCTCTGAGTAGGGCGCTTTGGACACATGTATTATATCAGATTCCTCATAGCAACAGGCCATTTGTGCAATGAAATGCAACTATTGTCAAGGAGAGAGGGGCCTTATTTGCTTAAACATGCTATGGGGTGTCTTCTGTTCTTTTTTATTAGGGATCACGAGGCTTACCTGGATTCCCCGGCCCCCAAGGACCAGCTGGCCAGGATGTAAGTACAGAGAAATGACACGGGCTCAGTAAAGGTGCTGACATTCACTCCTGGAAGTCCACCTTCCATCATCTCCTGGCCTTACTTGACCATGTGGCCAGTTTTGTAGCTCAGTCAAGGATTTCTAAGATGACTTCTTTTTTGCTCTTTTGTTGATTGTGTCCTCTAATTTTTATTATCAAGTTTTATTTTTTATGCTTTTGTGTTATGCTTTCAGAACCTTTTAAGCTTCTGGATATCCCATACAATGTTTCCTACTTCTTGGTCAACTTCTTACATATTTGGCCAGTCATTTCTGCTGGAATCAGATATCACCTTCTCTGGGGAGTTGTCCCTGCCTCTTTTCTAGAATGACTCTCTCCCCTCAAGGGAATTCTTCAGAATTAACTGATGCTCTTTGCTGATGCATTACTTCCTACTTTGTGAAGATGACATTCGTCTCTTATCTCCATCCTCAAGCTTTTGTTTAGCTATATCTGAACTTCAAGAAGGTGAAGATTCTGTGTCTTATGCATCTGTAGGTCCTTGATGCCTAGCAGCATGCTTGGTACATTGAAGTTATTTGATCCATGCTCATTGACCAAATAGATAAATGACAACCATGAGTTCCTGTAGGGCAAAGATGCCTGGCACTAGTAGGCAGCTGTATTTTTTTGCTTAGACATATATCTTTCCATCTCTACGGTTTTAGTTCATTATAAGCAGAGACAATAAAATACCCTTTCCTTGCTTAGAGAATGTGTGTGTGTGTGTGTGTGTGTGTGTGTGTGTGTGTGTGTGTGTGTGTGTATGTATGTATATATATATATATTACTCTCTCATTCTTATTTTCAAATATTCAAATTTAACTGCTCTACTCTCAACATTACATTCCTATAGCAAGTAAAGTAGAATAATTTCCTTCTTTTCAAGGCTGATCCTTCCAATTGTGTTTGGAAAAAGATTTGGAAATTTTAAAACTGGTGTGTGTGTGTGTGTGTGTGTGTGTTTGTGTGTGTGTGTGTGTGTGTGTTTGTGTGTGTGTGTGTGTGTGTGTGTGCATGTGTGCATGCACGCGCGCTTGTATGCTCTGTATACATGGGTTGTTTTTAGTTTTGTGTTTAGGACAGGACTCATAAGAAGGATAGCTCACTGTTCTAAACACTTGCCACTGTCAAATGTTTCCTGCGAAGGCTTGGGCATTCAGCTGGGATTTAAAACCATAAATTCATATTGGTGCCAGTTCTCATGGTTTGGTATTCTTTCCCTACTGAGTCACACTTGGCAGATACAGAGGCTGGCAGAGGGTGTGGCTAGAGTGGGTCAGGATCGTGTGCTTGTCGCAGTTAATATTTTATTTTTTTCTTTCCTAGGGTGTACCAGGAAATCCAGGAGAGAGAGGGCCACCTGGCAAGCCAGTATGTCATCTTATGATTCTGGATAAATATTGACTATCCAGGGCTCCGATGAGAAATAAGATGCAACCCAGATGGTTCAAGAGACTTTGACAAAGGGCTTTTTGACAAAACTGTGGGCAGAGGGAATGGATATGGGATTCTGTGAGACCCAGAGATAAACCTAGTGGGAAGCCATTACCACCATTATGCCTGTTTTCAGATCCTGATGAGAATTGGAGGGAAAGGCACTGCAGATAGGAGCTTGGTCATGGGTTCAAAGCCACTGCCAGAAGGCTTGGCCTGAGGCAGGGATGGAGCGTCCCCCCCACCTCCAGTTTCCTGACAGCGCCCCTCGGTGGTCTGACTCACCTATAGGCCAGCAGATTGGTGAGCCTGAGATACAATGAAACAAGACAGAAAAAGATTTTTTTAAAAAGTCTGCCTGTGATGGACAGATGGACAATAGCAACATTCGCTGCAAATTCTTGCCATTTCTTAAGCCTTGGCTGGGCAATATTAACCCTTGCAGTTTCCCACTGTTAACATGGTAGAAATATTCTTTTTTGGCCTACCATGAGGAGAGTAGATGCTGCGAAAGGTTGAGGAGACATGGGTACCTGAGTGTTGGGTCCTTGGCGGTGTGGCCACAGTGTAGCCCAAGAGGCTTCCCTGTTGTGAGGCACCAACACCTCCTGGGACACCCTCTGACTGAGTGACCGATGCCAGAGAAGTCCAAAAGGTTTAGCCAGGTGGCCAAGC